ACACAGCCATTGTTAAGTGTTGGGTGACCATATTGTAAATTAATATTAAAAACTAAAAGCTGCAWAAAATATATTTTCAAACTATTTATTGTCAAATGTAGTCTAATAATTGAAAACATGGATGAAATAAGAAATATGAAACAAATAAAATAAAACACATACAAAGGAGAACACAGCTAAATGTATCAAAAGTATGTCTATGTAATATTAGAATTTTATGAGACAATGAATTTTGGTTTTTCATTTTTTTTCCTCTGTAAGAGGTTTTTATTTAATAGAATGTTTGGACAAAAATATTGCGATATATCWCCTTGCTTACAGTATCACAATACATCGGGATATATCGTATCGTGTCCCCTCTGTCATGATATGTATCATATCCCCAAATTCTTGCCAATACACAGCCCTAGTGTATCAGCAGCACTGAGAGGCAAATACAGCACACAGGGTGCACACAATAATGTCACAAATAAAATACACACATTACAACAACGATAAATATGAAAACAAACTGACACATTTAGGTCAAACCTCGTGTGATTTCATGCATTTAAGGCAAGATGTGAGATGTGTTAGCACTCGAARTGTGTGTTCTTTAAAAGAAAAACTCTCGGCTACCACCAGACTAAATGTTATTTTAATATCTATGAACWTACCTGAGTTATAGCCATCTTTGTGTTGGCTACTGTTTATCTGTCACAGTCCATTTCAACTTTGATGTGATGTTGATGGCCACTCAGTGGTTATTTTCTGAAAGTTTCATTCAAATCTTTTTAGTGGTTCATCAGATATGTTGCTAACAACAAACACAGGGTTGATACAACAGTTGATGTCAATGTTTTATGTAAAAATTGTGCATAAAGTGTAGTACTCAGAGTATGTGTTGGAGATGATTGTTAGCTACCACCACACCAGAATAAAAAGCTTAGTTATCAACATGTTGGTGTATCTTAGTCTGAATCGATGGTAACAACCCTCTTATTGGTCAAACTGTAACGTTTTAAACAACTTGTGCCAGCTTGTGAAAGGTTTGCACAACACTAAAGATGTCTAAGCTGAAGATGGAATTGGAAAAAACTTACTGGAAGTATCTTTTGGACCTATACATACTGTAAATCAAATATATAAATATGTATGGGGAAAATAGTCATAACATTTTCACAAGTCAACATAAGTTGTCTAAATCATTGTCWCGTGCCTTTAGACAACTTTTGCTGCCACATCTGCATTTTATTTTGATAATTTGTTAAAGGGATCCCTGATTAGTTGTAACATTAGACTTTATTTGATAAACATATATTTTAATTGTAAAACTGTAAAACCCTTTAACTGTTTAACCCTTCCAACAACGCCAAATGTTACGGCCACTTATCGTGCAATAAAACAACCAGTCTAAAGAGACATTATTTATTATTACAAAATAAGAGGATGTGTA